TTAAGAATACAAAAAAAAAAAGCAGGAGATTAAGAGTGATATTTTCTACTAATTGCCATTTGTGCCTTTGAAAATCTACCCCTCAAAAGTTAAAGTTCTACCAGCAACGTTGCTCTGGCTGCAGCACACAATGTTCTCTTTTCTTTTTCTAGTGAAATGTGTAGTCTGAAACAGGAACAGTTATGCCTTAAACAGATACCATAAAAAACAACAGAATGTGCAACACGCCTTTGTGAAGGCTGTCATTGTGAGGATAACTTTTGTACTTCCTGATCATGAGTTTAACTGTATAACCGTCACGTTGCATTTACACAGCTTTCTGCGTATAATTATAGCAGAGTGGCAGCTCTGCTATCATTAGGGTTGAGCGTCGCTTTCTGTTTAAAGGACAGCTGTTCTTTAAAAGCCATGTGCTTTTTCAGATGGTCTTGAAATTTGCTGTGCTTCTTGGGGGTGAAGGATAGAGTTAACAGTTCAAATATGCAATCATTTGAACAAGGAGCTCTCAAGATATATTGCCCCTTAAACAGAAGGTCAGCTGTTTCCATAAATTCAGGTGATTTCTTTGGGGTACACCTGGGACTCAAACTATAGCTCTAATCCTCCCCAAACCAATCTCAGTCACTTGGGATTTATCTCAACTAGTGCATGGCACCCACTGTCTGTCTGGGGAAGCAATAGTGAAAAAGTTACTGGGAGGAAATTTCTAACTCCATGTTAGTAGACACTAAAATGCATAAAAGAATGAAATGTGCATACGCAACAAGACTAGGGCTCAGTTGAAGCCAGACGATTTGCAGTCAGTGTTGTCTCACTCTAACTAGATGGCTCAAGGGGATTTGCTGTGGTTACTGAACCTGAGCTGCACCCAAACAGTATGACTGCAGGTAGGCATATCCAGGGCCGGCTCTAGGTTTTTTGCCACCCCAAGCAAAAAATTTGCTGCCCCAAGCTCCAAGAGCGCAACTGCCCAAGGGGAAAAAAAAAAAAAGGATGGCTGGAATGCCGCCCCTGGAATTGTGCCCCCCCCAAGCATGTGCTGGCTTTGCTGGTGCCTAGAGCCGGTCCTGGGCATCTCCATGCTAGTCTTAGTCTGGCTAGCTCAGGTAGCAGACAATAGTTGTGAAGATGTGAAGGCACAACCTTCAGTGTGGAGTAGCGACCAGAGGAAGTACGCAGGGATTTCCGGTGCGCTTGTACTGGGGCAGCTAGCCCGCACTGAGGTTTGTGCCCCCGTACATACTAGCACTCTTCCTTTGCAGAGGCTACAGAGCACGAGTACTGTAGGATTAAGTTTAACACCTTCTCTGCGCTACATCAGAATTTAGGTTTAGGGTAGGCATAGCAAACAAAAGCTACATACACCTGGCCTTCATTCAAATATCAGTGCTACGCCATACAACCATCTCAGGCTTTTACACGTTACCACCTCTTCACTCAGGGCATTCCTTCCGACACATTGCCTCATGAAGCTCTGGAGATGACGGACACATATCCCAACAGATTACAGACAATTCCCATGGCAAGAAGACATCTTTGTGCACCTCTATCGATGCAACCTACAAAATTCAGCTTTGAAATGAGGCATACTTGATCCCTCTCCTCACATCATAGTTATAACCTCTGCCAAGATACTCCAATTAATCTCCCGCAACCATTCAATACAGCTACACCTAATACAGTGAACACAGTTGGAGTTCATTGAAAACTCTGGAACACAACACAAATAATGGCATATTCTCTTAGAACTTTTGCATGTGTACTTATTATGGCATCCCGCCACCAACAACCCCCTTTACTGAATCATTCGTAATTCAACAGGGCAGAGTTAAGGTTGCATTGTTTTTAAGTTTTCATTACCTTCATTCTCTTTGTCCTATTTCCACATTCTGGAAAGGCACGAGCACTACTGGGCAACGTTAATTCTGCATTAGGAAAGATTTTGGGCAATTAACCATAAACCAAATTGTCTTTACTTATGTTAAAATAATTTATCTCCAACCTGTGTTTCTATCCAAGGCTCTTTAACGAGCATGTGAATTAAGAACCTGGTGCTACAAGGTTTTCAGCACTTCACAGGATCAGAATCGGGATGAAATTCACCCGTGGTCAGAGAACCACCAAAGCGTCTATGTACCACTTGAGTCATATTTAAGCTCTACTTGGCTTAGGTGGTGTATTAACTATGTGCTGGATGTCTCAGAAAAGGGGTAAATTTAACTCCAAATGCATAATTTAGATGCAATGTAATTTCCTCTTTTAATATAATCTGTAGTTAGCCAGATTTCTTTCCCTATTTTCACCAAATAGGCAAAGTGTTTAACCTTGCGATTAAATTGTGTAATAAAAATATATTACACAAGTGTCATTGTTTTTTCAAGATGACCTGGTTTATGCTAATTTATTTACATAAGCACTGTAATATGTATTTCACAGCTGACACGGCAGCTCTGTTCAGAACCCTACCGTGACCTGCTTCTCGTTATGATGGGGTAAACAGTGTCACCTTTCCAGTGCATAGTGAATTACAGAGAGGTAGCAAGGCATGCCATCAATCACATTCCAGTAAGTTGGCTTTCAAAGTAGATTTCCGATATCACAAATGCTATTTAGGCCGTTACGGAAAGTACAAATTGGACAGCTCATATAAAATGGCCATATGATGAATGGACATGACGGGTCTTCAAAGAAAAGGAGCACTGCTATTCTACAAATAACCTTGTCAAAACAAAAATAAGACTGCAGCTCTTTTGGTAGTCTGGCTACTACAATTTAAGAATTCTTTAATTGCTCTATCTTCTAGAAGTTCAAACAAATATCATTGGTATTAGAAACTCATGTTTATTTATGGACCATAAATTCTATGTCAAGCTAGCCCCTGCTAAGAATTTGAATTAGGTTTTGGAAATTAAAATATTCCATATTATGGCAAGTTTGTTACAAAGTATCTTTTAACAGAAAAAATCCCTATGATGTTTCAATCATAGCCAGGCTGTGTGACATCCAAAATAAATGTAATTTGCTGGCTTACTTCATGTGATCATGTCTCCCTCTACTGGGTTATCTTAGTAACAACGACAACCTGCTACTCACACTTTAAGATACCTGCACATTTAGCTCAAACATTAGTGATTTGTGCTTTAGGCACTCCAAGTTCAAGGTTAGATCACTGCTGATAAAAATGTCTAGATAAATATATATGTGGTCATGGTTCATTATCACCAATGGGACTTGCACTTTGTGGACCTATAGACACTGAGGAAAGGCTTTTCTAAGAGCAATGCATATAATCCATTGGGGTCTAGCCTTTCTAAAACAACATACATATAATCCAATGATCATATCTCTAGTTGCTGATCTTAAACCCTGATAATAGCTAAAGTATTCCTTTGGCTCAACTGATAAAGGTGTGTCTTTTGCTTTTCCTGCTGCAAGATCCAGAGTTCAATCACCACTAATGTCTATGTAGTCTCTGTGTCCTGCTTCATTATGCAGAATTCCTAGTATAAAGAACTATTTTGAAATATAATTTATATTGCTGTGTGGTGAGATGTCATTGGTAAAAACCTCTTTGATTTTGCAAGAGTCTTCATTTTAGTCCCCAGAGAGGCTAGCTCTCTTTTAGCCTGCAATTTATTAGGCCCCTTATTGGTTAAGGACAGCTTTACATTTGTGGGATTAATCTCAGAGACCACAACTATATTTTTATCTCATTACAATTAATGCTATGGGCTTATTAAAACAAAGGGATACCGTATATTGAATTTTTCCAGTTGACAAGACCCCCACAGTGCATTACATCCTATCAACAGGATGCTCGGAATGTCTACTCAATCAGCTGTTGAACAGAAGAAAGGAATACCCAGAGGAAATAGAAGTCATGTGGACTTTGAAAATTCAGTACTGTCAAAGACAATACAAGCAAAATCTACAAAAACTGTATCATACTGATGGTATCCATGTCACTAAGGGTATGTCTCCACAGCAACTAGACACCTGTGGCTGGCCCATGCCAGCCGACTCGGGCTCACGGGGCTTGACCTTGCGAGGTGGGAGGGTCCCAGAGCTCAGTCTCCAGCCCAAGCCCAGAAGTCTACACAGCAGTGAAGTAGCCCGCAGCCCGAGCCCAAGTCAGCTGGCAGAGGCTGGGTTTTTCTTTGTTGTCTAGACATATCCTAATATATTATAAACCTCATCATGATGGGCTATGTTCAGAAAGTATAAAGCTCAGAGGGAGGTGAGGGAGGGGTGGAATCCCCCCAAACTCAACTTCCTAGCCACACTTCTTTGGTCTATTAATATTTTAGTCATGAAAACAAACTAAATTTATTTTTGAAGCATGGGGAAATAAAAAAGATAAATAGAGTCTGCTTCATAGTGTGTGACACATCATGAAGTGGAGAGGAGAAAGATATAACAGTGGAATTTTTATTGTGTTTGCCTTCTTCAGAGCACTTTACACACATTTATGCAGCCTCACAACATCCCTGTTGGCTAGGCAAGTAAGAATTATAATCCCCATGTGGAAACTGAGGCAGGGATGTTAAATGACTTGCCCAAGGCCCAGGATTATAATTCATGAGTTTCTGGCACCTAATCCTGTCCTCAAACCAGATCTCATTGCAAAGAAACTCATCTTCCCTTCTCTGTGTGCCTTCCTCAAAAGTTAGTTAGCAGGGCTTGCTCAGCAGTTGCTTCACACAAGCATAGGGAGAAGACAAAGTTCTAGACAAAGCTCTCTCAGACTCTTATACCCAGCTAAAACCAGGATGTATAAGCCCACCAGCTGAGAGACTGCTGAGGTTTAATTATAAAAATACAACATAACAGATCATTTCAAGGTCTGAGCTGAGGGCCACATCTTATTTACCTGAATCTGTTTGCTCATCTCTAGTCTGAGGTTTTCACCATTATTCCCATGACTTGCCAGTTAAAGACAGATGGAAGCTGTTTTCTAATTCTATTTCACTGTAAATCACAAAGACAAATGACTGTATTACCTCGAGAGTTCCTTTGGCAGAGTAAGCAGCGTATGAGTACAGAAGGTCTTGGCTGTGAAGCTTTTTGGTCTCCCTGTAACACTTCTGTCCACTAGGATAAAAGCATTCACCACTATTTTTCAAAGTTACTGTATTTGAAGAAGAGCCTGGCAGGTCAAGCAAGACAGAGTAATTTACGAGCTGAACATCTTCAAGGCCACAAGACGTCCATTGAACCAGAAGTTTCATTGCAATGTCTGTATCTTCTTCTTTCCTAGGCAACTGTATCAAATCTCTGGGGGTGGGAAAAAAAAACAGAAATAGTACATTTTTTCAAATCTACATTCATCTTGTACAGATATAGCAGTTCACAATTTCATTAATGTGAGCCAAGGAATTCATGATAGATTACCATACAATACAACAAAGCACCTTTCATTCTCTTTGCATGTAATTCCTATCAGTCATCAGAAAAATAAAACTCTTTGTGGAGAATAATAATTTTTGTCTTTTAAGAAAAATATCCTATTGGAATTCCAAAATCCCACAGAAGTGATTTCAAATCATGGTATAAATTGTAAAGCATTCAATATTTACAAGTAGAATTTGCACTTCCATGCTGAAGTATCTGCTTGTTAAATTTCTGGGTGCTGGCTTTTAGCTAGCCTGGCTACAAAAGTATGTTCAGAGGAAATATTTACGTATTAACCTCAAACCAGATCGATTCTAAACAATATAATTTGATATTTAACATTTATAAAGTAACTTTCATTTATGGGTTTAAACATTAGAACCATTAATTCCACCTCACAAAACCTTATAAATTAGGTACATTTTACAAATGGGCAAACTGAGTCACAGAGGGGGTAAATAACTTATCCATTATCACACTGCGATTAACTGACTGAGCTTGCAATAGAAATCAGAGATGGAATCCTGGCCCCAGCAATGTCAGTGACAAAGCTCCCAAAGCTGTTTTGACTTCAGTAGGGGTCAGAATTTCACTCTATGCATCTCGAGAAGTATGGGGAAAGTCTCCACATTTTGATCCACTGATGAACGTGAAAGCAAGTTCTAAATATTTATGCCCAGACTTTCTTTTTAAACTAAAGTCTGCTAATTTTATATTCCATCTACTTAAAAGAATCGCTCTAAATTCTGTAGTATTACAATCCCTACAAAGTAGTGGATGATAATTAAAACTTTGCACAGGGCGATGCTATCTGGAGCACACTCCTGCAGCAGGCTGGGGAATGACAGGCACACCTACCTCAGTTACCCTTTTCAGAGTCCCCAGAGTTTTCCCAAGTGAGGTTAATTTATTACAAAAGTCCCATGCACATAAATCATAATAAAAGTCCCATACCATAATCCAGATTTCCCCCATGATAGTCCTAACAGTGCAGCATAGAGTTATGGCATCTCTCACTACGGCCTGACTCTCTAGTGCAGCCCCTACATCTCATCTCTCACCACATCCCAGCTCTCCAGTGCGGCCCTCTCCTGTCCTTGTAACAGGATAACCACCCCACCCCTTCCAACTTGAGTGCAACCCAGCTCTTCCGAGCAGGAACCCTCATTTTCTCTATGCTGGAATCATCTTTGCCAAAGGAACATTCCTCACTCCCCCTGGGCCTCTCAAAGCTCCTCTGGGTCCAGCTCTTCAGCTCCAGAGATTCCAGCAGTTAAGCACCTTTGCTGCTCCCTACCGTCAAGGCTCTTCAGCCCTAGGCCCCAGCTCAGAGTCAGGAGGCAACTCCCTCTGCTACTGCTGCTTCTCTTGCTTTCAGCCCTGGCCGTGGCTTGGGCACATCAACCAGCGAACCCCTTTTGCTGCTGTCCTACGTTCAGCCTTTGCCCAGGTTTCAAACATACAGTCTCCCAGCCAATTCCTCCCTCTTCCTAGGGAGGCCTGTCATGAGCATTCTGCTCACTGAAGCTTTCCCCAAAGACGACCTCTTGTCTTCTGATTTTCCTGACTCACTCTCATCAGGACTCTCCCTCAGTTGGTTGCTCCCTGACCTTTTCTAATCATTAGGTGCAGCTCCGCCCTCTTAATTGGCCAAATGGGAGCACCTGCTTTGACATACAGGAGCTGGATCTGCTTCATTTGCAATGGCCAGCCACCCTGCGACAAGGATGCACACAAAATCTATGATCAGTAGCTTTGGAAGGGTTAGCAATGACCATTAACAGGAGATTAGAACTTCTCTGCGGCATAATCTATGTTGAATTTAAGACAGCCAAAGACATACAAAATGAAGGCATGGTTACAGGGGTTGTACTTTGCAGTAAAACTGCATCTTTAAGTTGATTTTCAACCATTGCTAACAATTGCCATAATAACTACTATTATTTTATAGCATCCAGCAGTGCCAAAGTATGGTACAGTACTTTACAATGGCAACAAAGTCAAGGTCCCGGCCCTCAGGAGTTAACAGTTTAGTTGAAATACAAGACCATCCGAAGTGTAACAAAAAAGCAGAAACTCCACTTCCAAAGAGCTCAGAACACAGTGGCACAACTGGATTTTTAATAAATAGCTCATTTTTTTAAAAAAACCTCCTTATTTAATGAAAAAAAAGCCTAATATTGACTGGACACCCACTAGGTTTTTTTTGTTTTGTTTTTCCAAAAGTTTCACTTTACAAAATGATTGGTTTGAATCATATCTATGCAAGACAGTAGAGTTCATTTGATGTAATTTTGTAGGGGGCTGCAGGGAGGGGACGATGCTGGAAGCTAGCTACTATTAAACATTTAGTCTACATTCACTGAGAAAAGCTGAAAAGAGCAGTTTCACTAAGTATCATAATATATTATTTGACAGAAAGTTTTCCTCAGCCTTGATGTCCACAATAAAGGGTTATCCAGGCAGCATAGTGAAGTGTCATGCAAAACACCTGAGCCTAGAAATGATTTTGTCAATACTGTTCAATAGACTGCCAGACCACGAATAGGTCGATTTTGGCTTTTCTGGGCCAAATACAGTTTATATCACTGATGAACACCCATTACTGGATGATCCACAGAGTGGCAATGATGAAAGAACTGAAGGAAACAATGAATCTAGTCTGACCAGCTTCAGAATGAATGCCAAGCGAATAGCACTGTAGAGAGACATCTAATGATAATTTCAGTGGAATAATGGAAGCCTAAAATGAAAGGGAGAAAAATACATTGATCAATCTAACATAGCCCACGATCCCCAAACTCAGAATCATTCACCAAACTGCGGGGAGCTCTGAAGAGTAGTAGCCTTGTTGGCATGTTGAAAGGGTACTAGGAGGTCTTTGCTTGGATATGTAAACTGCCTGCTGTACAAAATGTCTCAAAATGTAATGTTAATGGGAAATCATCATTCAGAGGGTGTGTTTCCAGTGGGATCCCCCAGGAATCAGTTTCTGACCATATGCCACTGCACATTTTTATCAATGACATGGAAGAAAACATAAAATCATCACTGATAAATTTGCAGATGACACAAACATTGCTGGAGTGGTAAATAATTAAGAGCACAGGTCAGTGACATAGAGTGACCTGGATATTTGTCTAGCTATGAGCCAGGAGAAGCAGGGATGGTGTCCCTAGCCTCTGTTTGCCAAAAGCTGGGCATAGGTAACAAGCGATGGATCACTTGATAATTACCTGTTCTGTTCATTCTATCGGAAGTACCTGGCATTGGCCACTGTCGGAAGACAGGATACTGGGCTAGACAGACCTATGGTCTGACCCAGTATGGCTGTTCTTATGGATACCAAGCAAAAAAGAAGCATTTTAATATGGCTAAATGTAAATGTATACATCCAGGAACAAAGATTGTAGGCCACACTTAGAGGATGGAGGACTCTATTCTGGGAAGCAGTGACTCTGGAAAATGGGTTGTGGTGAATAATCAGCTGAACATGAGCTCCCAGTGTGACACTGTGACCAAAAAAGCATTCTGGGGAGGCACCCTGGAAAATCTCAAAGAGGAGTACTGAGGTAATTTTACCTCAATATTTGTCGCTGGTGTGATCACTGCTGGAAAACTGTGCCCAGTTCTGGTGCCCACAATTCAAGAAGGAGATTTATAAATTGGAGTGGGTTGCAGAAGAGCCACAAGAATGAATTAAAGGATTAGAAAATGCCTTATAGTAATAGACTCAAAGAACTCAATCTGTTTACAGAGTAACAGCCGTGTTAGTCTGTATTCGCAAAAAGAAAAGGAGTACTTGTAGCACCTTAGAGACTAACCAATTTATTTGAGCATGAGCTTTCTCATGCTCAAATAAATTGGTTAGTCTCTAAGGTGCTACAAGTACTCCTTTTCAATCTGTTTAGTTTACCAAAGAGAAGGGGTGACTTGATTACAGTCTGTAAGTATCTACACAGGGAACAAATATTTAATAATGGTCTCTTCAGTTTAGTAGAGAAAGTTTGGCTGGAAGTTGAAGCTAGACAAATTCTGAATAGAAATAAGGTATATATTTTTAAAGGTGAGGGCAATTAGCTATTGGAACAATTTACCAAGGGTTGTGGTGGATTCTCACATCACTGATAATGTTAAAATCAAGACTAGATACTTTTTTTAAAAAAGATCTGCTCCAGGAATTATTTTGGGGAAGTTCTGTGGCCTGTGTTATATAGGAAGTTAGACTAGATGATGAGACTGGTCCCTTCTGCCCTTGGAATCCCGGAATCTATACACCAAGTAACAGTATTAACAAATTTTATATTGAACTGAATTAACATTTCAATTGTGTTAGGACTGAAAAGTAGATGATTATAAAACTGAGACTCAGAGATATAACCCCAAACCACCAGTTAGTGACACCTCAGCTTAGATCTCGCTTGTACTCCTTAGAATAGCTTGTGACATTCGATTTTTCTATGCTCAAAGGGCCAAAATTTTAAAGGTATTTAGGCATCTAAAGATAAAGATAGGCACCTATTGGGATTTTCAGAAGTGACTAGCTCCCTAACTCCTAGGGTAATCAATGGATGAACAAAACAATGAACAATTGTTAAAACACAGGCAGAAATCTATTGGAGTAAGGACCCGGACAATTTTGAAAATCTCACTAGTTGCCTATCTGCACCTAAATACCTTTAAAAATTTGGCCCAAAGAACCTGATCCAAAGACCACTGAAATCAATAGAAAGACTTATATTGACTTCAGTGGACTTTGGAACAGGAAAACATAACAGGAAAAGGGTATTTAAACTTCTCCTTTTAACAATACTACCTCACAATTTAAAACTCCATTAGGAAGGGAACATTCACTACACACACAATGTCACTCACAACCTTAT